ATTTTTTACTGAATTCTGTTGCATAGTAACAGAGGTATCGTCTGAGTGGCGAATCCACGTTTTCGGTCTGACAATCGGCAATGTAGTATTCTCCAATTACTGTATCAGTGTGTTGTGGACCACAGTCTCCTTAATATCTTCTTATTCCCGTGGAACCCCGTTCTGGATAGCCTATTGATAGCCTGGTGCGCTTGGCCAAACCAGAAAAAGTCAACGAACGTGCGAACTGGCTGATCTGTTGATCACTGTCGCGTACAAGCGGGTCAAAATAGTGATACTAAGACTACAACTGATCTGTCAAGGGCGAGTGAAGAACAACCAATGAAATCTGTCTCAGCGAAAACGGTTATTCCATTTGCTGTTATGTGGTCCCGTTATGTTCGGAACGGATTCTTCTAATAGACTTCTTTGCCGGATATCGGGGATCCCATTAGGGTTCCACTCAACGGTTGATATATCTTTTTCCCCCTCAAGGGCCAAGGTGTATATCCACTCAAAAGTTCAAGATGTATTTAAGTCTGTCCGGATTCGTGCGCCTTGCTTTGGTTGGATTGGTTCGGAACTTGTCCGTTCCCTGCTCCACTTTCAAACGTGGTTGTTTCGGAGATCAAACGGAAACGTACTTTCATCTCTTTCTCTCTTGCTACTTTGTGACTTGTTAAGGTCAGTTGTGTTTAGATCCAGAAATCAGGTGCTCCGTCCTCTTCTACTCATCCTTCACTCTATTTGGGTTCATGAAAGTGAAATAGTTTATCGAACCCGTGCCACTCCTTTGTGTGGCTGCAGCAATCCCCATGCTGGCGTGATCCGTTTTCATTTACCATCGTTTGTGACTTGTTGTCTTATTCTCCGTTTATGTTTTTTGCACGTGTCGTGCTGGCTCGATTGGGTAAGTATGAATAAATCAACTTGGATATCCTTCCAGTTGTCTGGATGGTTCAGTGCTTTTCTGTTATTTGGGCTTTATGGTAACACTTCACTCTGCAGGCATTCATTGAGGACTTATGGTGGTGTGTGCTGGAAAGTCGCGACAAACATGAACGATATCAATCACGAAACTGCGTTTATCTTTCCACCTATTCCTTATGATTGTCGGTTTCCAGTGCGAGACCTTTGTCTTATTCCCTTTTTCGTGGTTTTTCTCCAGCGACAAGTTGACATCAACAAGGAACCATGGTTCCACGGTGTTCTTCCTCGAACGGAGGTAGAAAGGTGAGTCGTGTGCGATTTCGGTCCTTGAGTTGTTTTTGTGAACAACGTGACGATGGAGGAAACTATGACATGACTGTCACATCGCTCCATAGTTCTTCATAGTTTCTCGTTGTTTGTCGTGGTTTGTGTTTACTTTGGAGTAGATCAACACCCAAAAGATTCACCCCGTTGGTCACTCACTTAAACCACTAATTGTAGTTCTGACATTGTAAAAGCCTGGTGAAACGTGGGATCATAAATGTAACAAGACTGGTGAAGGCTTCGCACATCCAAATCGAATCCAATATCATTGACAGGCGTCAATAGGGCGTTTAAGCTATTTTCCGCCGTTGGCAGACAGAGACTCAGTCAATATCAAGGAGTCTCGGCTTGTTAACCATATACCTTGAACGGGCGCTACCCGTGAGTTTTCGGTATGAAGCGAACATTGTTCTTCCCCCCTTTTTTATATGACAACACGTCCAGCTGAGAGAGTCTCGGAGACAAAACACGACTAAACAACTCACGTGCCCAGCAAAATACGTTTAAGTGGGAGGTTCCCCACCCAACAGACAATTCTGGAAGCATGGTATTTGTTTGCACCACGGCTTCCTCCCTCTTCCGAACCTTTCAGAACTGAAGACTAGATGTCTCCCAAAACGACAAGTTTCCTTCTTACCAGGAGACGCAGCAACGAAATTCCTTTCTAGGATAGTGTCATTTCATTTCTGATTGACTTGATTCGATTTAAATTAGCTGGCCGACTGAGGGTAATACAACCGACGATAATCCGGTACTTCTGGGGTTCCGAATAGTCGTTTTTTCGATGTTGGATAGAATTTTGTCTTCGTGTGCTTGGTCACTTCATATTGTAGCATACCTAAATGAAACAACTACTGTTTCTCTGATGACCTAGTTATCGAAGACTAATGACCGGTACACAGGCTCATCATGTCATCGACAGCATGACATCAGTGTTCAACACCGATGCTTCACTGTCGTACAACCATGATTTATTTGAAAGCCTTATTGTAAAGAAAAGAATAAAGGTGGATGGGGGAAGGACTTAGTGCTAGCTTAACACAATCATTCCGAGGTGCCTACACCTCCAGACATTCACTCAGGCAATCTGGATAGAAACTGACAACAAGAACGCCACTGACATCGGTTGGCAGCCATATCTTGTAGTGTCTCCAACCAGGCACAGTGAGGATCACGCGGTCCCCACCCTGAAAGGCGAGTAGCACCGACAGCACCCAAGCGTTTCGTGATCTCCTTCATACTCCTCTGCCAAGTCAAGGTTTGGCCACCTCTCTGTTTACGTCACTCTGAAATGGGCATGAAAAACAGCTCATCATGTGGCGTGTCGGTATGCGAGAATCACCGGCACGCACGAGTATTGCGTCTTTGGAACACGACCAAATGAGAAGCTTTATCCCATATCCTGGGAAACCGTTGAAAGATACCCGGATACAAATGAAATTTCACTGCACAATGCGACAGTCATGCGATATGGTTTTTATTTGTCAGCCGTGCAGGATCCCTAGGAAACACACTGTACTCAGCCGTGCAGGATCCCTAGGAAACACACAAGGTATCTTTTAGACTCTGTGGGCTGTACATGCAAGTAGCAATGTCGCCACAGAGATTGAGCGGCGATCCAGTACGCGCCTTAAGTTTTCACTGATGTAATGTTGTGCGACCATAGTTCTGAGTAACTTTACACAATTCGCACATAATTGATTCGTTATTACCTGTACGACAGGAATTTTGTAGATTTCCCTAATCTCCACTCAAAAGATATGTGTTACGGTGACTTGTATCTCTAATCAGCTGGCTTCCACCACCTATGGCGATGACTGAGTGTTGTTCATTAGTACGACGTTCGGGATGATGCAGGTTCTTCTGCTCCTCGTGAATCACGTGGTTTTTCTTTATCAGAATACCGAATTCGATGGTATGTACCCAGCAGTTTGCCTGCAGCACCGCTCTGGTTTCAATGAGAAACGCATTGCCGTATTGTTTCCTCCCCAGCATTTCCCGGGCGTGCCCAAAGCCTTATCTCTATCGATCACTGTGTTCGTTTGTGCTCGCTTGCCCGAGCCGATCATCCAATGGTGTAGCCGTTAACGCAAAACTGGACTGATTAGGGCCATTAGTATCTCATGTTCTAGTGGGGCTCTCCTTTGAAGAAGTCTTCACTCCCACCTGGGAGTTCCAGGTGAATCTCCCGTTTATGATATTCTAAGGCAACTGAATGTGCTGCACCAGGTTGCCTCGTGTTTCAGTTGATGCGTAATACATTACTCGACGGCCCGCGACTGGTTTCGGCCTTCTTGTGGCTCATAACGCAGGCGCAATCTCCGAGTTTCCGTCAACCTTATGTTCTACTTGAACCCGAATTCGACAGATTTAGACAAATACACTCATTTGCCTCTACTAATTTGGTTTTGACGGGGGACTCACCTAGAGCCCAGCTGAATCTCTGTAATCTTATTTCGGAGGAAGTCCACTGTATATATCGTTACAAACACCTCCCGTAACTTCTTTTCTCTCACATGGCAACTTTGAGTTGTGTCATGCTCACCTTGGTCACCATTCAATCGCGCAGAAATTATTTCAGTGATATTTGCAAGAAATGGACAAATCGAGGTCAGATAGGGTGTGGTACTAGTACTCGACCAGACAGTTTCGATCGAAGTCAACACGCACGGCACATGACCGAATCACCGTTGCCTGTGCTGCCGAAAGCAATACTCTAGGCGAACGATTGCTGTGCGTATTAGAAGACGTGAAATGTCGCCCTTCTGATTTGCATACACTTTTCGGGTAGATCTACGGACCCGTTATGTTCATGTAATATATGCATTCTGCATGGTACCAATTACACGTCTTAGCGCAACAGTTACCCCCGATTCGCAACCGCTTTGTCATTTACTAAATCAGTACTTGAGAACTTTTCACTGCGCCTGTGCGTACTCCACCTGTCTGCAGTTTGAAACATGTTTCCCCTTTGACCTGTCTACGTTGTCGCTCGTATCCTAATATTTTGTCGGCATTGCATTCAATTCGCCGTGTAGGCTTCTCCAAAACCAAGGCGACTTCCTTGTGCGACAAACTAACAAACGCGTCAGTGGTCGTGACCCAAACCGCCCCGCCCGAGAGGGTCGTTTTGATGACCAGCAACAGGCTGATGATGGTGCTGCCGACTCAACCCTTCGTGCGGGCGGTACAACTAACCGAATAGTTCACCGGATGGTCCTCTCTGTTTATTGGCACGGACACAAACACTTTATTCTTTGTGGAGGTGATGGCACAGGTCGTGGTTGGTATTTGGAAAACGGAGAATTTCCCAGTATCAGGTGAGGACACCTGTGTTTACGGTCTTGCTGAGTCACCTCGTTTCATTTGATTGCCATGTTTGTTTGCGGCACGGTGTTGTCCTTACTCACGGTCTCTCGCCCCCGGACGTTTGCAGGTGTGTGGACGGTTTAATTTCCTTTCAACTGATAGATATCGACTGCTTTCTCTTGTGAGACAGGTTTGATACTTGGCTTGTTTTTCTGTCGTCTTTTGTCACAGTTTTGCAGTGCGATTATTTCCGACCGGGTACTTATATCTGGTTTACGGTTCCCTAAAAAAACTCTCAGCTGTAGCACCCTTTCGGTGCCTAATGCCATGCCATTTGATACTTGGCTTGTTTTTCTGTCGTCTTTTGTCACAGTTTTGCAGTGCGATTATTTCCGACCGGGTACTTATATCTGGTTTACGGTTCCCTAAAAAAACTCTCAGCTGTAGCACCCTTTCGGTGCCTAACTGCCATGCCATTTGAAGGTTTCACGAGGGCTGGGATACTGCCAAGTTGCCCAAGCCTAGACAGGGGAAGTCGAGAGGCAGAGGTCGGGTTCGAACCACGGAGCTTCCGGTCAGTAAATTCGCGCTCTAACCACTTGAGCCATCTCGGTTGCTTAATGCTCTTTCTCTAACAGGATAAACTGTTCGACAAAAACACTTACTTGCACAGCAAATTTGCTTTCACGGATACTCACGTGAAACCCAGCCGAATCTTTCGTTTATGAAGTTCTTCAGCTGAATTTGCTACGCAGAAGCCGCCACACGTTTCAGTTTGTAAGACATTGGAAACTCGAAGATCGCGCATACTTGATGATCTCCAAGAGGGGCGCGCCAAACCGGTCGTGAGATGTCGAACCGTTTTCATCAAGCTTATGAATGGTCTGTTACATCTACACAGTGTATTGTGATACCTCTGGTATCGTACCAACTGAGATGGCTCAGCCGTTAGAGCGCGAATTTACTGACCCGAAAGTCTGCGGATCGAAACTAACCTCTGCATGTCGACTTCCCCTGTATAGGTTTGGGCAACTTGGCGTATCCCAACCCTCGTGCTTCCTTCTGGTGACGTGGCAGCTAGGCACCGAAAAGGTGGTACAGGTGAACGATTTTTGTACCAAATGAAACATAAGGTGGCATGTTTACTCGAAGGGGAACATCATAAACGAAAGATTCAGCTTGGATTCAGATTAGTCTGACGTAAAAACCAACTTGCTATTCATATGAGTGTATTTGTCGGATTTCGTGCAATTAGGTTCGAGTAGAACATAAGGTTGACAGAAACTCGGGGACTGCGTCTACCCGATGGGGCCCAAGAAAGGCGGAACCGGTTATGAGCTGTCAAAGAGTCTTCAGTAACCTGCTTAGTAGCGTGCTATGTCTAGGAGGAACAGGAATATTTTTGACCGATGCTTAGGGGTTTTTCGCTTGAACAATACAGGAAAAACGTCTCCCACCTTGTTCCTGTGTTCTGAGCGGTAAAATCCACGGTTCCTTGAGCCTGCAGACCGGCTTTAGTTCATTTCAGTTCGACGTTGACATGGGTAATGCAACGTGGGGGTGAGAATTAATTGTTGACTGTGAGTGAAATGACAAAATCTGAGGAGACAGATAGACGGATGAGACCATTCAACCGCACGCTGATAGTGTCATCTCGATTGGCGGCAGAACGCTTGCAAGCTAGTTGCAATACCAATGAACCCACCCTAGCTACCAGTATTCGGATGCATTCCCGTTCGAATTTTCATACTTCAGCTTCCAGCCCTTCTCCATCCACTTGGCATCTTCGCTCCGGACGAGGCTTCAGAAAACTGAGTTAAACCAGCCCAAGGGGAAAAACTAAACGGAAGGTCCAGTCTCTTCGAGACGGAACCCTTTATCGTTTTATGAGTTCCCGAGCACTATTCAAGTTGAACGCTGTTTTCCACAGTATACATGCAATGCTTCGTAGACAGTTGTGGTTGAGAACCAGCGGTTTTGTCTTCAACTCATAGTGGTCATGTTTTACAACTGTAATTCACTCACCAAATCGTTGCAGATTCTGTCCTTAACCGACAGACTAGTGTCGCCAAGCTGTTTTAAATTAGCTACCAGCTGACCTGACTTTGAAAGCCCTAGTACACATTTGTTCGACGGAATACAGGCATTTCTAGCACCCAGGTGCCATGGTGCTATCTGCTGTCTTGCAGGAATACAATTCACTGTAAAGACAGATCACAAATCGAAACTTGCAGTAACGTTATACCGTTTAACCACTATTTTTTGAACAGACCTCTACTTGGCTTTCACGTTGTCACTTCTAGAGAGTGCTGGCAAACCCTACCAGGGCAGTAAATGTTAACACATTAGAATGGATGATGACCACGCAGATGCAGTGATGATCCACACATTCAGCTATAGTAACTATTTGGAAACTATGGGCTACAAGAAAGACATATCGCTTCTCAGACACTTCCATCGCCTTCCAAGTGCTCTGAACCAGTCGCGTGAGTAGTATGCAAACCTCCCCTCGCCCCGCTATATAACAAGTGGTACTCAATACTTGTGCTTTAACATAATTGTTTCGGAAGGTCCATAGTTGCTGAAGCTAACTCAGCAAATCCCTGCTAATTGATTCTGTCCGTTGTTCTGTTTTTCCTTCCTTCCCTCAGTTTCAATTCGAGTTTGATTTGTGCCTTGCCGCATTTCAACCTCACTTTTTTCCTAAGGACTACGTTTTTTGCGGATTTCCTCATTGCTATATTTGAACCCAACCACTTTCGCCACCCATTTTTCTACACCGAACCCTACTGTTGCAAACCCGAAGCAGTTTCAGCTGGTTTGGTACTGGAACTCTCCGAAATGACTCACTCCCTGAAGCGATAAATCT